TAGCTAAGGTTTCTAAAGGGAACTCAACTATCGGGCGAAGCCGTAGCGTAGCTAAGACTCTTAGTATACGTAGGCTTAGCATAGAAGCTTAAGGGGTAGTCTCAGATTGACCCTACGCAGTGGGTCTGAGTAGAAAACCCTGTCAAGTCTTATTTTTTTGATGGTTTGGCTGATATGAGATATTTACCTCTGAGTATATATTAGCATTGGTAGGTTTCGAGGTAACTTTAACCCGGAGCGAGCTACCCCGAAGCTACCCCGGAACTATTCTAAAGAAACTTAATAATCTATAACTTCGATATATTATTACTCGATAATTAAACTATTACTTTTTATAAAAATTTATAAATATATTCTTAATATATATAATAATAATATATTAATTTTTTTAAGTTTAAAGTTCGAAGTCTTTAAAGTTATTAAGCTTTTTAATTTTTTTTCTAAAAATCTTAGAATAATATAATAATTAAATAAATTTAAAAAATAATATTAATAAAACTTTATAAATCTTTACTTATATCTTTAAATTATTAAATAATAACAAGTAAAGGCCCATGAATTAAATTCATGGAGTTGGACTTTTCTAAGTCAAATGGAGTTGGATTTTTTCAAGTCAAATCGAATTTTAGCCCTAGCCCAAAGTCAAATCGAACTCTGATCGCTTTCTATGCGTTTTTGACCTACTTCCACCACTACGAAATTGATGAAGGAGGTGAAAGCCCTAACCCTAAGTCAAATCGGACTCTGCTTGCTTTCTATGCGGCAAATGGCCTATCACTACAGATCGCTGACCAATCACGTCCTTACCTGAGGAAGGAGCACCTGCTTGATAACCTTGTTCTTGATACACCTCGCCGGCCGAGTGGGTTGCCGTCTTGGTAGATCGCCTGAGGCGACAATTGACAGGCCGGCCTTGCTGATAACTCGGCTCAGGGCCACATACAATTGGCCATGGGCAAAGACCTCGGGGTATCCCATCCACTGGCGCCTTGCGTGTAAAATGTCTTGGCAGAACATCCAAAATGCCATACCTTTGCAACGCATTAACTTCTTAGTGATAAGCTTTACAGTAAAATAATCTGCCGTGAAGTTTGATATCTGCTTGAGAAGAACAATTGCGAAACTATAAAGTTTTTCGTGGGTGTCCTCGTTGTTGAGTTGCGATAGGTTGTAAGAAGGGACTTTTTGATGTTCGGGCAGAACCCCTGAAATTTACACGCTGCCAGCCGATGGGATAGGTATAGGCCGACCTGCTGTAATGACTGGCCCTGGGACTTACAAAAAATAGAGAAAGGCCATGTCCTCATGGCAAGAAGTATTGGAATACCGGAAAGAAATGGAGATAACGTGCCAATTAGTGGTGTGAATCCCATAATATCTCCTGCCGCAGTAAAATCTTTCGAATAATGAGATAGCTATAGACATCGGACGGTTTCAATTCGTCCAAATATACATCGTTCGATGTCCCTCCTACAGAGGCCTAATTGACTGTGATCGTCGCAGTAGATCCTCCTCTTATAACGTTATTGCAGTGATGTACCATATTAATGCAGTGGGGATGACAGGCCAAGTTGCAGTGGTGTTCTCCGCTTGCTGAGTGATGATTTGATGTGGAACCGTGGAGAGCATATGACGTGGGATCTTGGAGAGCTGAGCCGTGTTCCTGACGATGGTGGCCTTGTTGCCGCTTGGTTTCTCCGCAGTGTTCTCCGCATTTGCCTGTTGTAGTTCCTCCTCTTACTCCTCAATGTAGTGGGGATGACAGGCCAAGTTGCAGTGGTATTCTTCGCTTGCTGAGTGATGATTTGATGTGGAACGGCCAAGTTGCAGTGGTGTTCTCCGCTTGCTGAGTGATGATTTGATGTGGAACCGTGGAGAGCATATGACGTGGGATCTTGGAGAGCTGAGCCGTGTTCTTGACGATGGTGGCCTTGTTGCCGCTTGGTTTCTCCGCAGTGTTCTCCGCATTTGCCTGTTGTAGTTCCTTCTCTTACTTCTTAATGTAGTGGGGATGACAGGCCAAGTTGCAGTGGTGTTCTCCGCTTGCTGAGTGATGATTTGATGTAGAATCATGGAGAGTATATGACGTATGACGTGGGATCTCGGAGAGCTGAGCCGTGTTCTTGACGATGGTGGCCTTATTGCCGCTTGGTTTCTCCGCAGTGTTCTCCGTAGTGTTCTCCGCAGTGTTCTCCGCATTTGCCTGTTATAGTTCCTCCTCTTGCTCCTCCTCTTATAGAGTATCAGACTGAGTGGTTAGCTGAGTGGCTGACTGAGTGGATTACTGAGCTGATAGGGTAGGTAGTGTTGACTGAGCGGCTGGTCGAGTAGTATGTAGGGGAGGACGATGGCTGTGAATCCGTTCAAGCTCTTTTTGAGGACCTTCTAACGCGTTTATGAGCAGTAGTAGGTAGCTGTTGGGCTCGCTTGCGGCCTCGATTGCCAGCAGTAGCGGATTCCCATCAGTAGGGGCTCTAAGAGGCGGGCAAAAGGGGTGTACGTGCCTGAAGCGTTTAGTAACGTTTCCGCGAGGGGTACCGAGGACGATTGTATTCATATTGGTGGAATTGATAGAATTAATAGAGTGGTGAAAGAATAATGGTTACATAAACAAACAAACAGGTGGAAGGATTATTATCCGATCCCGGACGCGTCTGGTGTGGCTACCATAACTATCATATTTGAATATTCATTTCATCCACCAATAGTAGGCCAAACTTCATTATTTTTACAGCGTTAGAAAGCGCAAACTGAGCTCTATAATTTACGAAATTATGAAGTAATAGCATCCGTAGAGAGCTGGTTATTTCAGAGTGTAAAACTTCTACATACAAATTTTTGATGAGGGAGCTCGGGAGGGCTAGCGGGCTGACTCAGTCAGTCTAGCTAAAAGGCGCCGAATTTATGATTGGCTGCACATACAAATTCAAGGTTTTCTAGTTCAGCCCTACCTTATTCTATTATATATACTGATATTAAGAATATATCTATAAATTTTTATAAAAAGTGATGGTTCGGTTATCGAGTAATAATACTCGTACTATCCAGAAGTGAGTAACCTCGCTTAATAGCGCCGGGAGAGTTGACCAATCAAACTACGATTTTCGCGGTGAACTAAGTAGTTTGATTGGTCAACTCTCCCGGCGCTATTAAGCGAGGTTACTCACTTCTGGATACTACGAGTATATCGAAGTTATAGATTATTAAGTTTCTTTAGAATAGTTTCGGGTAGCTCGCTCCGGGTCAAAGCTACCCCGAAACCTACCAATGCTAATATATTTATAAATTGCAAATTAAATAAGAATGCTTGGCAAAGCTGATTCAGCTCCGCCTCCGACTTTTTGTTAGCGCCATTCATAGAAAATTGTAGAGAACGTACTTGCCACTCTTGTACCAGCCCACTCTTACCAGCATGCTTATACTCTGAAACGATTAGGTCAGGGAGAAGGTCATAGAGAAGGTGGAGGATTTTGATTGATATTACGTAGTATTTCATTATTGGAAAGCTTGCTTTCTTAATACTCGAGACTTAAAATCCTAAATGGCTTCTACGCTAAGAGGCTAGTGACCAATCAGATCCTCGGATTTCACGATTTCTAGTCTAAAACACACCTTATTTCTTCATTTTCGTTCTAAACACGGGTACGTCCAAAAGAGGAAGCACCATAAGGCTGAACCTCGAACATCAACTTTATCAATTTATTCTATTTAATTCCTTTAACGTTACGTAATAAATAATAATAAAGTAAATTTATAGAGTTATAGAGTTAATTATACGCTTTCAAATAAAGTAGCGAAGACGAAATTTAATAAAGTATTCGTAAAGATATACTAAAAACTAAGATTTTTATTCAAATTATCGAGCTTGCGAGAAGAGCCCCTCCGGCAGGAGCCCTCGGAGAGCCCTCGGAGAGCCCCCGGAGGGTTAGGGGGGTTTCAGGGGGTCTCCCCCTGAGTATATCAAATAAATTACAACGTCTCTCTCGATTCTCAGTGAAATATAATATCTCTCTCTCGATTCTCAGGGTTAGACCACTTAAAATCCCTTAAGCCCTTCGGAGCTCTTTAAGGGCTCTCCGAGAGCTTGTATCGGAGGGGCTGTCAAAGCAAGCTCGAAATCAATCAAATATCACTAAAACAATCAAATTTCGAGCTTGCTTTGACAGCCCCTCCGATATAAGCTCTCGGAGAGCCCTTAAAGAGCCCCCGAAGGGTCCGAGGGGTTTTAGGGGGTCTCCCTGAGAATCAAATATAGTCAAAAACCAGTACTCGGCAAGCTTTTCACTACTGGGAAGCCCGCGCCCCAGCACATATTAACTACTCTGTTATCTCCATAGTCAAATACTTCAAATCTCGTTTAAATATCTTAATTTCGCCGTCAAATATGTAGCCTGCAGTGCTCTGCTTGAAATACTCCACCGCAAATCTATCACAGCCACTAACATCGATTACATGCTTCAGAAATCCCGCTGGTAGTTAAGAAGAGCGTCTAAAGCAGCAGGTGAGAGGCTACGGCATCGCCCTTGTGTATGAATATACCTGTCATGAGGGATCACGGTGTCACCATAGACAGCAAGGTTCCGCTCCCATCGATACGCCGTCGATACACTGAAACAGGCATCCGCAGCTACGGCTTCAGGTCGCCAATGGAATTCGAGCAAGAGTTGGGCACGCTGGCGTACAGAGGGATTCTTTCTAAATGGTGGTATCGCGTCCGAAGTAAGGGCTGGCGATGTGGCTATTACACGCCTAAGTCAGAGGTAAAATATCAGGAAAAGCGTGTATACCCACTAGCTTCGGTATTACGAATATTTAACTAAAGTAGTAGATGACAGTAGCTATTGCAAGAGTGACAAGTACGTTCTCTATAATTTTCTATAAATGACGCTAACAAAAAGTCGGAGGCGGAGCTGAATCAGCTTTGCCAAGCATTCTTATTTAATTTGCAATTCATAAATACTCAGAGGTGAATATCTCATATCAGCCAGACCACCAAAAAAATGAGGCTTAACAGGGTTTCCTACTCAGACCCACTGCGTGAGGCCTTTCTGAGACTAATATACCTCACTCGCTGTCACCATTGACGTCATCACCCTCTTCCTCAGACTCGTTTGAAGAAGATTTCCATCGGAGAGCTCCTCTTCCCCTGCTTGCAGAAGGCTTCAACAGCAGCTCATTCAGTAGCAGTCACCACAGTGTGGAAGCCTACGGCAGTATACCACTTACGCCTACAACACCCGTGCCAGTCACTATGACGACTCCTACGTTCACCTTTTGTGGCAAGTTCACAGGCAAGACCGATTCAGCCTCACGATGGCTGAAATCCTTTGACCATGAGCTATCCCCTCTCAGAACCTCGGGCGACCTGTCTCCGTGCTTCAAGGAGACGCTGCTAAGTGGGCAGAGTCAAACCCCGAAGCCGTTCGTCTCCTCGATACCGATGAGCCTACCCAAGCTACGGTCGAACAATTCACATCCCTCTTCAAGCAACGATTCCCAGCAGAGGTCATTGAAGTAGTCCCTGTGACGTTCGATGCTGAGCTGGCAGATATACGCCAGCAGTCTACTGAAACCATCACTGCCTACTACACAAAGACCCTCAACTTGATGCACAAATATGGTGCCAAAGATCGTGGTCATTCTATGTTGCTGTCTCTAGCAGAGGGCTCATTGCTAGACACATTCCTGCGTACATGGATTCGAGGCCTCACTGACCAGGTCATCACACGCAAGTGTGCTGAGAACATGGGCTCCCCTGATCGATCACTCCGCCTTCTCTATGACGTCGCTGAATCCACTCGTCGAGTCAACATTGAGATCCAGAAGCTCTTTGAGGATGAAGCTAAAGAAAATGAGCTTCAGTTCTACAAAGATCTTGCCCAACGCAACATGCCAGCTACCCAAATCGACGCCCTCCATGCTTCATATCATGTCAAAGCACAGGGCCCAGGATAGCCGTGGCAGCGTAACGACTATCAAAGCTATCAGCCTGCTACTCCATATCGACCTGAGGTGTTTAAACCAGCAGCACCACCACCCCCACAGCGACCTCTTTTACCCAACCCAAATCGTGCGAATCAAGGTCCACCACAAGGCTCGGCTCCACAAGGTCGTTCCCGCAGCTATCAACAGTCCTTGCCGAAGGATCTTCCTGACCGTAAGACTTCAAAGAACCCTTTCATCAATGGCACGAAGCCGTTCGACATCAGGGCCGATGGCCGCCTATGCATTAGATGTGGTCATCTTGGCCACATCTCGAAACACCGCATGGACGAAGTGCTCCCTGCTTGGGAGCAAGCTTACCTCAAGGAGATCGTCTTTTGGCAACCCACCACAAGTAAGCTTTGCTGCGGCAGGCTTCGGTGACTACGATAGCAACACCCTCCCTTATGGCAACAGTTACTCCAGTTCGTCGAAGGCTTCCACAATCTACACTCCATCGTCATCAAGCACACCTTCGGGGTCCTTTGCTAGTCCAGTGAACTCAGTCCATTTCGGCATAGTAGGCTTGTCTGATGCCCTTGATTGCAACGGTGTTGAAGCAAAGATTGGTGAGCGCTCCGGACCTAACAAGAGAGCTCATGTCGAGGAGCCTTTGCCACAAGCGCCCCAGCAGCAGCCGCAAGCACCTCAACCACCACAACAGCCATTTCAGTTCCAGGCTGAGGAGCGTACCAATCGCAAAGGACAGAAGCGTGTAGGCCCCACAACCTTTGGTTGGTATGTTCAATGATTCTGCTGGCAAGTATGACACCCCGATCTCTATTCGCCATGTGCTACAAAACAACAAGCTCGATATTTCGTGGATGGATTTCATAGCATGGTCTCCCGCAGTATGCAAGGAACTCAAGCGTCTGTGTACACGTGTGCCGAAGAAGCGTCTGCCAAAGGCTTCACAGCAACCACAAGCACAAGCAGGAAGTCTTCCGCAATTCAACTTCCGGATGCCTCAGTTCACCCAGCCCATGCCCGCCTTCCCGCAGCCCATGCCTGCTTACATGATGCCACCGCAAGCATGGCAACCCACGATGACTGGTGCGGTGCAGAACCCCCAGACCAATGTGAATCAAGGGCCTGCTACACAGCAGTCCACGCAGCAGCCATCGCCACAGACCCTCCCAGGCTCGCAGTCCATCACATCATTTCGTGTAGCAGCGGCACAAGCCGAGCGTCACACCCGCCAGCTGTCTGCTATGATAGCTGTTGAAAAAGCTTTCCGCATTCCTTCTACCATCTTCAAACCTGAAGGTACTACTATGCTGCTAGAGAAGAAGTACACCCAAGGAGATCAGGGCTCGGATATGAATGTTGTCTCTATGGGGTTGGTACGTTTCCTTGGTTTGCAACTCCGCTTGCTTGAGGAAGTCGGTTTCAAAGGCCTATCTATGCGTACTGCAGACCACCGAGAGACTGTGCTAGAGTACTGAGTGTGGCTCCGTCTTATGGTGGAATGCATCCTCCGTGACATCCGCTGCTTCGTAGCACCAGAGCTACCACATACCACGGAATCGGGCGAGACTGAGTACCTTAGTTTGATCCTTGGACTACCATGGCTCTATTCGGTAGACGTCTCATCTCGATACGTCAGTCTAAAATTATGATTGGCGATACTTCCGTTGGTGAGCAGGTTCGCGAGGTCACGGGTCCGGAGTTGGTCTTTTGCAAAGACCATAACTTGTTAATGTATCCCAAATCTGCTATGCCGGAGCCTGGATTCGTTGAGTCGGATGACGAGCCTGATCCTCCCTCTGAATCTTCCTCATCTTCTTCGTCTGAGGAGAGTGACGATGACGTCGAAGATATCCATGATCCCGTGCCGCCTTTTCATTAAGTCCTCAGCAGGACGCGAAACTGACTGAACCTGTGCCTTTGCTAGAAGCTTCATCACATCCTCTAATGCCCTACAAGGACGTCCTGCCGAAGGCTTCTGCTACCTCGGAAGCCTTCCGCAACAGCTCCTCAGTAACCGTAGCAGATAGCTCATTCCCTGTTGACACACCAGGATGGTCTATCAGCTCCTTCAGTGCATCTGGCTCACCATATCATTCGCGAGTCCTTCAGATCGATATGGAAACTCCTGCTAGTCTTATCTCCCAAACCAAACAAATCTCCTTATCCAAGCAGGCCAATCCTGCGTCCAAGCATTCCGGCTAGTGTGCCATCTGCGACCCTGGAATGCTGGGCAGAGTCCGTAGGACTCACGCTTGGAGAACTCATACCTACTGAAGCAGCGAGGCTTCATGTGCTAGCATTGTTGTATCACTACCGTCACCTAAATGGCACTGACTTAACCGATCTCCCATGCACCGACCTCATCACTCATCGAGTACGCATTACCCCCGGTACCAAACCTGCGTCAAACATGTACCAAAACCGTTGGCCAGTACATACAGAGTGGTGGCTTCGGAAAATTATTCAGCAAGGCCTTGACGGAGGTATCTACGAGCTTACAGAAGCAGCCAATGGAAGGCTTTCGCAATGGAATGCCCGTGCTGTGGTAGTGGACAAAGTCGAGAACCTCACCCCGGAAGACGAGCCTCGGATCACATTCGACTATTCACGTGTCAAGGAGGATCTACCAGGCACATATATGGAGCTAAGCTCCAAGGTGCATGACAACCTGGCAGACCCTCGTCACAAGAGTCTGTTTGCCGCTGACCTTAAGCACGCATATCTCACGATTCCCTTGCACCCTGATGATCGCTATTTCTTTGCCTTTACTATCTCAGGCATCGGGCAGCTACAACCCACACAAATGCAACAGGGTTCGAAGTCTGCTGGTTTCACGATGACTGAGCTTGGTTACAGAGCTTTTGGTGCCTTGCCACCTCCCCACAATGAGCCGTCGTTCTTACACTCGGTACATCATGAGCACTTGCCTGTGCTTATATTCTACACTGACGACCTGTTTGGCGGCTTTGACTCGTTTCAAGAGAAATACGATTTCTTACGAGAGCACTTCCTACCTAGAGTCGAATGGGCACGTCTCAGGCTCTCCTTCAAAAGGCTCAAATTGTTTGCTGAGGAGATCAAGGCCCTTGGCGTTATGCATCATGTTGGAGGCCTTGTGCGTACACTGGAAGAACGGACCAAGAAGATTGCTACGTGGCCGGTGCCTTCAGACCAGTCTGAGGTGCGCGGGTTCCTTGGAGTTGTAGGCATCACACGCCGTTGGGTCCGGAATTTTGCTGAGGCAGCAAGGCCATTTTCAAGACTAACCGGCAAGGTTGCTTGGAGGTGATCTCAAGCAGAGCAACTATCATTCGAGATACTGCGAATCAAGTGTGCTACCAGGACAAGTATGCATGGCATCGACCTTGATCGAACAGTCCATCTGTACACTGATGCATCCGGGTTTGCAGGAGGCTTCCCGTGCTACACCTAGCAAGCTGTGGAAGGCTGCTGCAACCAATGAAGTACCTCCGAAGCCTATCGCAGCCAGGGATGTTGAGGTCCCAATTCTGTATGACTCATTCACCTTTGTGCCTACTCAGCGCAAGTATCCCACCTACAAAAGGGAGCTATGCGCGATAGTCACATTCTGCAAGAAGTACGATTACCTTTGCAAGCACCCATTCAAACAAACGATTGTTCACACTGACCATAAGCCGCTCACTCATTTTCTTGCCTCGGACTTGCATGAAGGGATTTATGGACACTGGGTGGACACCTTACGGCGCCTGAACATCACCATACACTACATCCCAGGACCTCGAAACAAGGTGGCTGATGCGCTATCAAGGACGCTATTTGACACAGACTGCAGCGAGTCCTCATCTGTTCAGGAAGCCTCTAACAGACTAGCAGAGCAAGGCTCGAGGTGGATATGGAAGGATGGCAAGGATGGTTTCGAAGCCTTCCTCAAGTCCCTCTCAAGCACTGAACGCAATGAAGTCATCAATGAAGGTACTATTCATAGCGTCCCCGCATTTGCCTCCTCTGCTACTACAGGACTTGCTTGGATTGAAGCTTACCGCGACTCCCTATGGTATGGTGATATCTACAAGCTCCTTTCGGATCGATATGTGGGAACACCGTTTGCTACACTCTTACGCAAGGCCTATGATCACCGCATTCATAATGATATCTTGTGGATCTTCCGTCGGGGCATCGAGAGCTACCTACCATGTGTCCCGGAGAGCAAAGTGCTTACGGTCCTTACAGAGGCACATGATAACAGTGGGCACTGGGCGAAAACTGGTACTATGGCACGACTTCGGAACCTGTGCTATTGGCCTGGGCAGTCGAAGGATGTCGAACGGTATATCGAAGGCTGCTTAGTGTGTGCTCAACATGGGCCTGCAACTCGATCACAGCCGCTCCATCCTGTTATGGTAACGTATCCATTGCAGCTGATGGGCATGGACTTCATTGGACCTCTGGATACTACCAAAGCAGGAAATAGGTACATCCTCAACCTCGGCTGCTACATGTCTCGTTTTGATGTACCTTTCGCATGTAAGACCAACAACATCGATGATGTCCTGTGGTGCTTGAAACTGTTCTTTGCTATGTATCGGAAGCCTTACGCAATCGCGGTCATCATTTCGACCGCGAAGAACTCCGCGAATTCCTACGGCTGGAAGGCATCGCCATTGACTATAGTCCCTCTGCCTCCCATAGATCCACAGGCATGATCGAAGTCATGAACATGGTCCTCGAAGGTGTTGTCCGTAAGCTTGGGAAGGAATGGGATATCAACCTATCAGATGCAGGTAGTCCAGTCAATTCACGAGTCATCAGCTATCTAGGCACGTCACCTAAGGGCATTGTGCTAGGTCCTCTGCCAGAGACTTCATGTGTCGCTGCCACTCTGCTATCGCTACCAGGAAGGGATATTCGTGCTTGGGCTATCCAGCTACAGGATTCTCACAAGCTCGAAGTCTATACCTACCTCAAGCACCGGGCGGAAGTTCATGATGTTGTTGTGGCAGCATCGCTGCGTCAGAAGGAGGATATGGCAGCACGTTACAACAAGGGCGTCAAGCAGGTTGTCCATCATTTGGGAGACCTCGTCATGCTATATCAGGAGCACTCCGGGAAGCTTCAACCACGATGGCGAGGACCCTTCAGGATCATCAGGTATGGAGGCTCACATGGCAGGAGTTTCGTACTACAGCAATTGAATGGCAGAGGCATCAGGGGCACGTTCCATGGTGATCATTTGAAGCTATTCACACCCCACACCGGTTACCTAGCGGATTCAAATCTTCCCATACCTCGACAGCAGACCATTAGGAAGCCTCGTAAGAAGCTTCATTGATTCTACGTGGCTGTTCAATCAGATCTCCCTGCCTGCGGAAGGCTTCCTCAGCTGCTTGCTACGATGCTATTTGGTTTATGATGCATGTTTTACTAGAGGTAGCATCTTTCAGGGGCTTGTTTTGCTATGGCTTTGTTTGCTACCTTGTTTGTGTATAGCTTCATGTGCTTGTTAGTCGCGGGGGCTCCGTCTTGTTTGTGTGGGAGTAGTTAACAGGCGTGACTTCCTTGCAGGCTTTTGCAGCTAGTCCATAAGTAATAGCTTAGCTTGGTGGAATGACCTATGTCCTGCTGCAGCAGGCTTCCATAGATCTATACCCTTTGCTACCCACATAGTAGAACTGTTTCGCTCAACTAACAGCATAAAAAGCTCATTTCATTAAATATTTCGAATACATGTAATACCGTATTGCGACGGGGCGAAAAACAACGCTTCGCCCACTCGAAGATTCAAGATTCGCTGGAAGACTTCATCAGGGTTCTTTTGCCCCTCTCCTGTTGAGATGTGTCGAGGAAGGACCTCGAACCATTCGGGGCTAGTGAAGTGGTTTGATATCCACTCAATTGTATAATTGGAGAAATTTGATCAAAACAGATTTTTGATTCTGCGGAACTGTTGGCGCTATTCTTATTGTTTTAAGATCCTCCATCACCGGAGCTACCACCATATGAGGACATCTCATCGCTTTCTGAGTCCTCATCCTCAATGCCAAGCAGCCACGCATCCTTATATGCATCTTCCGGAGGCCTTCCTTCACCGTTATCTAGAACCCATCTAAACGAAGCTCTCGTGGCCTCAATAGACGCATCTTCAATGTCAAGAAGTTGGAGGTCGTGGGAGATATTGGGGTCTTCAGATAGACGGTCTTCGGGGATATGTGGAATCACTGAGTCTCTTCCCAGATCGTCCTCCAGTACAAGACCATTGCTAAAGCACCACGTCGAACCTTCATATGCCAGGGCATGTTGTTCGCAGTTCCTATGAACTTGTACCCTGAGCGGACAATTCTTCCAGAGCGCATAACCAGGAGGCGCCCAAGGTGTGAATGGGCCAACCCCATAGTGTAAATCATCGTCGATAATTGGAGGAAGCTTCCGAAGACGCCAGCAATCACTTCTCTGGATGTATGCTTTAGAAAAGTGCTTCTCGCAGTACTTGCCTTCTCCAATAAGGTCCATGAATGACTGCGGAACCCCAGTCCACGCAAAAGCATGTCGTTCCAGAGGAGGCTGCCCAGTGAGAACCTGTTCCAGGACCGTTGATGTCAAGCCGCTGATTGCAGCACCCACCGATAGATAGGCAATATTTGGGGCGCGCCGGGCGCTCATTACAGCAAGAATCTCATTGTATCTTCCAGGAGCACTTTGGCAGATCTTCGTTTTCTTCAGATCCAGGAGAGGCTGTAACCAGGGACTGACGAGGTTACTGCGTATGTGAGGATTCCAGAACACCCCACACAGACTTGACATGATCACATCGCCCCCACAGCTCAGTGTAATGTAATAGGGAAGGTCGTTGAATAATCGATCTAAAGCCTCCTTACCGATCCTTGCTTGAGAAGCTTTTGGATTGCCTGCTGCAAGACAGGGGAGAGCTGGATTGACTTGAAGGTAATTGAGCGTGGGGAATAGTAGTGCCGTAGCGAGGGCTGCATGAAGCTGGTGGCTGCTCACACCATATCGATTGCCGAAATCAATTAAGCTCTGCAGTGCTTGATAAGAGGTCAGAGGTGTGTCACTGCTAATCTTCGGATCTTCATGATCATCTCTGCACTTGATGCTGAAACGAGACGCATGCATCGCCAGCGAATATGCCCAAGGGCCGTAACGGCTATAGGCTTGTTCTCGATCGAGAGCAATCTGAAAGCCAACACCTGGGGCCAGGATAGCTGCAAACCATCGCACCGTTCTTGAGTCGACGCCCCCAATGTCCACAGAAATGCTCGACAGATTTTCATCGCCTCGAGAAACGGGAGCAGCAGTTTCCGTAAATCTCAATATTGACACATCACTGCCTTGCAATTCCACCAGGCGAGCAGATAATATGTATGACCAGGCCAAAATCAATACTGCGAGAAGATTTGGCTGATCATCCCCTTCCCATTCAATCCAGTTGCGGAAGCTGTTACCACTTAGGAACACAGTAGTCGGAGAGCTGGTTTGCAATCGCAGAGGAACTGGAGGCATGTGTAGAGGCATTCCAATGACGTCGCAATCTTTGGACCCGGTCACGCGCCATTTTGTTGACAGGAGCGATGGCTTCAACAGGCCGTATTGGACACGATCAGGCAGGGGTGGTACTCGGCCGAGCATATTGCGAGGCTCGAAACCTTTGAAGTCGAGCCCGCTCTCGAGCTCACTCAAGGCTGAATGCGCCTCATGGCTCCAGTATTTGCTGGCGCGACTATGTAATGCAGTAATTTCGGCAGGGTCAGGTTGTAAAGGCTGTCAAAAGCTTCAATGAGTATCGAGCACTCTAATACGGATCTGGAGAGACCTAAGCTTACCTGGTCCTCTAGCCTATCTGAACATAAAGCCATAGATGAGATCTTTGCAAGGCTGGAGAGTGGTTTCAGGGACAACAATATGTCTCTTAGCAGATTATTAATATGATCGTGCTGTAATTGAATGGTTCGTTACGGTGAGCTTTGCAAACTAGCAAGTCTACTGAGTAGTCTCAGTACTCAGACTCTATTCGGAAGGGTTGGTGGTAGTGATAGGTCGGAAAAACCTTTTTTCCGGGCCGAAATTTCGTCATACCCTTCTCTGTAGCCCCACTGCGTGGGGCTACTGAGACTATCTACAGAGGGGCTCGAGGGGATATGACGGAATCGGCCTGGGATTATAATATTCCGTAGCAAGCCGCTAATTTAGAGTGACGTAGTTCCACCAAGGGAGTATAATGTAACGGAATCGGCTCGGCAATATAATGTTCCGGCCCCCCCAAAAGTAGAGTCTGAATTCGACCTAGACTGCGCTGTCTTCTCAATACTTTACGTCCACTACTAACGCTTAACGGACCTAGACGCTTCAATCTTGCAAGAGCTACATATACTGAGAAGTCTTGTTCTGCACTACTCGGTTTGTTGAAACGTGTTCAAGGTTATAATTTGATTCCAAGCCATTGCCCACTGTATCTCAGGAGGACATGAGCACGAGCTCTGGCAAGGCCGGTGCATGCAGGGTTTGTGGCCACATGAACAATGAGCACAGCTACCACAAGTGCACGGTGTGCCAGAAGAGAGATGCGTGGAAAATCTGTCAAGCCACAGGCGCACATCCCAATACCCAGCGTACTTCCACGTATGGCAAATGCAAAGTTTGTTGTAATGGCGGAGGACCGTTCCCCAGCCTTATCGATGAGATGGTGAGGTGTTGTAAGTTGAAAATATGAGGCTGACCCAAACCCAACAATCTAATGCACAATTTAGGAAGCCTCTTCGCGTCAGACACCTTGACATCAAATGTTCCTGGAAATTTTCCTCTCTGAAGCCCAACAACAAGAGTCGAAGATAACGGGGAGACCGGACACGTTGAAGATACTATCATAACATCAGGTGGGTATTCATTGTTATTATGTTGTTCTATCTACTGAAGGAAAGTGCTAAAGGGTTGATTCGCTAAGTGATCCTGACAACGTTCGAATGCGCAGAAGGGGGTCTACGTCGAATACTATAAGTGAGCCAGAGCATAACTTTAGGATGAAGGATATGTGGCAATTGAGGAAGTCAAAATTTCTTATCGAATTGTACACTAGGTCGGAACCTAAAGAGCTATCAATTAGAAAAAGATTCAATTAGCCTCGTTACTTACTACCCTCTTCCGCAGATAAACCTTTAGCGCTTAACTTCTTCCTTTACGTCGACATGGTTATTGGCCTTGCGTCTCTCTTCTAGAATGTGAATTCCAAGTTTGATGCTCAACTTGTTTTGGCTCGGATATAAAACACGGAAGATCCATGACTGTGCCCTGCGGATTGAGAATATGAGTTATAGCAGGGCCTTCAATATTATTAAGCGCAACTGGCCGGTCAAAAAGAGTTCCTAACGACCAGCCTACTCCGAGGATGCTCCTACCAAGAGAGCAGGTATTGGCAGTTTTATCTCAGCTTCCTCAGCGTCGCTACCGTATAGCATTACTCATACTACTAAATACATGCGGGGCGACATCAGATCCCTTAAAACTCATGTGCCTTCCGAAGTCTGGACTGAACCAGACCTCTCATTCGACAGGTCCTTCACCTTTAAGTTATGCGGAACCTCACGAATAGTGTAATCGAAGTATTTGGACAGTAGATTGACAGGCAACAGGTACGAGGCTTTCTGAGTTCGAGTTAGCTCAAATCTCGATACATTAGATTCATACGTACGATTTCTGTCATGCTGGGAGGCTACTGTTCGTGATCAGTCGATCGATAAGTATATTAACTTCCATTTCTGCGTATGATTAGTGCAACATCTGCGTGACACAATCGCGCTAGCTAATCTGCCTTTGTTATTAAGGTTGGAAGCTTAGGGCAGATATTAGCAGCAGCCCCCACGGGGGCCCTTATTATTTCTTTATATACTTAGATATAAATATTAATATATTATACTTTCTTATTAGAATATAAATTTAATACTTTATACTTATAATATTGATTAAGAGTAACTTAGACTAATTAATTAAAATATCTAGCAATCTTCGCTTAGATATTATATAGAAAGTAGAATTTAGCAATTACTATTATACTATATTCGAAGATTTTTTTTTTACTAATTATCAATTTAAAAAGAAATATTAGAAGAGTTAAATTAAATATATTTATAATAAAATAATTATTATATTAATATATATAATAGAATAAGATAGAGCTAAGCTTAAAAACCTTAAATTTGTATGTGCAGCCAATCATAAATTCAGGGTCACTACGCTCTTTGATTAGATCGGCTAAGTTATCGCGGGTAAATAAATTAGCGTCCGCAACCATCAAAATCTCGCCCTCCCGCGCCTCCCTTATTAAAAAATAGGTATATATTATTAACATATAGAATAACTTTTTTGTTTTCTATTAAAATTTTGAGATTTTTTCTTTAAATTATAGAATAAAATATAGGCTTTCAGAAAAAAAAACAATTTTTAAATTTAGTCTTATAATTATTAAAGCGCAAGGAATTCAAATATCGTTCATCAAAGTTCGCTCGACAGCCGGACAGCCCTAATCAGGTACACATTATTTGATTTTAGAATAACATTTTTATTTTCTATTAAAATTTTAGGATTTTTTTTTTAGATTATAGAACGAAATGTGCGCTTTCAGATAAAAAAATAATCTTTAAATTTAGTCTTATAATTATTAAAGCGTAAGGAATTCAAATATCGTTTACTAAAGATCGCTTACCTATTTACTCGATAGCCCTAATTAAAAAAATAATTATGAATTTAATTTATAGACCTTTACTCGTTTATTATAACTATATTAATAACTATTATATATTCTATAATATCGTTATTCGCGAAAATAGTAATTTCTAATATAGTATCTATTCTTAAATTCTCTATAGAATTTCTTAATATTTCTAAAGATTCTAATATTTTAAAAAGCTCTAAAATTTTCGAAAGCTTTAGAGTTTCTACTTCTATAACTCTTTTCTACTTAATTTTAAAAACAATAATAATTATTATAATTATTATTTATAATAATAATTTTTTTATTAAGAGAGTAATTAAGAAATTTTTAACGCTTTAATAAAAAGATAACTTTATCGATTAATCGAAGTAAAAATAAATATATATGTTATTAGAATTTAATTTTAGAGAAGAATATTAGTAAGATAGCGAGAGTTTACTCTCTTAATATCGAATTTAAAGATATTATTAATAAAAAGTTTAATAAGCTTTATAAAAACTAAGCTAGATTATCGAAATAACTTCTTTTAACTTTCTAATTTTTATTATCTATAGAATTATACTTAATTATTTTAGAAAGAAATAAGCTATTATTAATATTTAAGAATTAAATATTATAATATAGATAAATATCTATTTTTTATCTATATAATTAAACTTAATATTATTAATAAAGAGTTATCGATATCTTAGCGTTATAGACTATATAGACTTCTTTTATTAATATATATAATAGAATAAGTATTAAGAAATAGTTCTAAGTAAAATTATATATATGAATAATATATGTATATAGTATAATAATTAATGAATTATAAGAGGTATATAGTAGAAGAAGTCTTTATTATATCGCAGTACCAAGGCACTAAGCCTAATCGAGACGCCTAGTAGAGAAATTCGTAATAATAAGATAGAGCTAAGCTAAAAAATCTTAAATTTATATATACTTAATTATAAATTCGAGTTTACTACGCTTTTTAATTAGATATTATAAGTAAATAAATAAATACTCTTAACTATTAAAATCTCTTTTTCTCTTTTCAATCATTTAATAACTTTACTATTTTCTATTAAAAATTATTAATCTTTTTTTAAGTTATAAATCGTAAATTGCACTTTTTAATAATAAAGAAATTATTAAATTTAATCTTATAGTTCTTTAAATGCACGGAATTTAAATACTACTTATTAAAGTTCGCTTATTAAATTTACTCGATAGCCCTAAATTAAAAAATTAGTATATATTTATTAAGGAATAATATGGTGTGACTCATATATGTGGTGTGGTCACTCTGTGGTGGAAAAGATGTTCATTAATCTATATGGTCTGCAGACACATGTGTACGCAGAGAGGCGCGCTAAGGCCTAATTAGGAAGGTGTACCGAGTGTGAACGTAACAATTACCCACAAAAAATAAGAAAAATGCCATGTCCTCATGGCAAGAAGTATGCATGCATGTGTGCTTTTCGAAAAATCGGAAAGGAGTGGAGACACCGGGCTAATTAGTGGTGTGCATCCCACGAAATCTCCTGCTGGAATGAAAACTTTTGGATAATAAAATGGATGTCGAAACAAGACATCGGACGGTTTCAAATCGACCAAATATGGGGAGCTTTTAAACCTCAGCCCACCCCCACGGTAATATTACCGGAGAACGATTAGGCCGACCCGCCGGATTAGTAAGGCCCTCCCATAGTAATTTGGCAGCCCTCCTTACCTGTTGCACTCTTCTTCTCCATACCTCGCTGTCGTCTATTAATTTTTTTGAAGCTATCCACAACTCCGCCCCGCCCACTATGACCTCTTAAGAACGCGTCGTTCGCCAGCCCCCGCAATACACGTACTCTAACGCGTCTAGATCGCCGTCGCCACCGTTTAACATCCTCTCTACCTCCCATCACCCCTCTGTTAAGCGAAAGGCCTCTATTAGTCTTGATGAGCAGAAAGAGCCGCGAAAGGGGATCAAACGCAGCAAACTCGCGCCTGTGATACCCTCGGAGGTCGCGTTAACAATACTGAAGTTGCCCGTAAACACTCCGGGTACGGTGGATTGGGAGGACGATGTAAGGGAGCGTATTTCCGCCCAGTGGGTGGCGATGTTACGCCAAATAACCGGGCTTATTCGTTAATAAGGGGTTTAAGAGGCCTTGAAGGAGCTCGCCGGCGATAGGTATAATAGCCCGGCTAGAGGCGTCAGCGAGGCGGAGTAGAGAGGATTAGACTAGACTATATAGACAACACCACCGATAAAGTCCTCTTCCCTGTGGAAATCCCCAGCTCCGGTGGCGGCGAGTCTCCTTTCCGCCCTGTATACCTCGGGAAGGCGGAGAGCCTCTATTGTACGAATAGCCTCATCGGTGATAGCGAGATCTAGCGACGGTCAACGGTGTGATAGTGACAGCGAGGTTGCTACGAGGCCGCGCCTTATTTTGGTGTGACCCCCATACAAATCTGGCGCGGCCTTGTAATCCCGCTACTGGTATTTTTCTTAGCATGGGCTGAGGTTTAAAAGCATCCCAAATATGCATCGTCCGATAGGTGACCCTTTCCTGCAGAGGTCCAATTGGCTGTGATCGACGCAGTAGATCCTTCTCTTGTGTGCTCATTGCAGTGATGTACCACAATGTGATATTGCCCAGGCATGCAGAGATAGCAGGCCAGATTGTAGTGGTATTCTCCATTTGCTGAGTGATGACTTGACGCGGGATCGTGGAGAGCTGAGCCATGTGCTTGGTGATGGGAGCCTTGCTGCCGCTTGGTTTCTCTGCAGTTCTCCACAGTGTTCTCCGTAGTCTTCTCCGCATTTGCCTGTTGTAGTTCCTCCTCTTGCTCCTCCTCTTGTAGAGTATCAGACTGAGTGGCTAGCTGACTGATTGGCTGGGTGCCTGGCTGAGTGGCTGGCTGAGTGGCTGGCTGAGTGATTGGCTGAGTGGCTGGCTGAGTAGCTGACTGAGTGATTGGCTGAGTGACTGGCTGAGTGGCTAGCTGAGTGGATTGGTGAGCTGGCGAGGTAAGTATTGACTCGGCTATTCTGGTGTTCATTCGTTCTTCTATAGCAGCCATATGAGTAGCCATGGTAGTAGTCATGGTAGTAGTTATGCTGAGAATAATACGCTACGTCATTGCTTCTAGCTCTGATATACGTTGTTACTTCGTAGTGGTAGACATGATGAGATCGACAGGCCTATCAAAAGGATCGATGTGGACGGTGTTTTGGTCAAATGGTACTCGATGACCAACGAGTGTATATAAGGGCCGGCTTGGAGCGTTACACTATTAGGTGTTAATATAGACTTTACGTAAACGTCTGATGACGCCTGGATATCCTATGAAGTAGGGCCAGGTGTTACTATTATTTATTAAGGAATAATATAATATAACTCATAAATGTGGTGTGGTGGAAGTATATTCATTAATCTATATGGTCTATAGACACATATGTGCGCAGAGAGGCGCGCTAAGGCCTAATTAGGAAGGTATACCGAGTGTAGAGGATTAATTCGTAATAATATTATTTAAATTTAAAATTACTTTTTATTTTCTATTAAAATCTTCTATTTTTTATAGAGTATAAACTATGTATTTTAATAATATAAGAATTTTAAAATTTAGTCTTATAAGTATTTAAAGATAAGGAATTTAAATATAACTTATTAAAGTTCGCTTATTAAATTTACTTAATAGTTTTAATTAAAAAAAAGTAGATTATAAATTTAATTTATAAGTCTAAACTCGTATAATATATTTAAATAATTCATGTTAATTTATTAATAAAATATTAGCGATATATTAACTAGGTATTAAAGCGTTTATATTAGTTTTAAATAAATTCTAATCTTAAATATTAAAGAAATTAATAACTAAGTTATAAATTTATAGTATAATATAAAGATATTAATTATTCTATATACTAGTAGTTGTTAGGAATAGTCCCCACGGGGGCCCTACGGGGCCTCTGCGGGCAGATATTTAAGTCCAAATAGGGGTGTCTGACTGTTAAGCGCAGACACCTTCGGAACTAGCTTTTTTAGCTGAGTTGCTAACAGTAGTATAGATATATATAATATTAAGCTATACTAGTATTATCTTATTAAATAAACTTTATATATCGTAATATTAAATTAAAAAATAATTAAGATATATAAATCTTTTTAAGCTTTATTAATTTCTATTAATAATTTATTTATAGCTATTTTAATATTATAGCGTTATCTATTAATTTATTTAAAGAGAGTAAGAATAATAAAAAATCTAGATTATTAGAGTAGATAAATAACGCCGAGCTATCTAGACGAGGTTTCGAGAGTAGAGTCGAGGTCGGGGTAGGGTTTCGGAGCGGGGTTTCGAGCTTTCTCGAAACCTCGACCCCGCCCCAAGACCCTCGACCTAGGAGCGAGATTTCGAGATATATCTCGTTACCTTAGTACCTCTAAGTAACCTCTCTAAATTTTGAAAAATAGAGTATAAAATATAGTATCGTAGTTTAAATTAAAGTATAAGATATAGATACTTAGAAAGATAATTAGAAGATATATAAGCTTATATTTAAGAGATCGTAACGAGGGCGTTATAGAGGCGTTACGAAGATAATAGCCTCGAGCTAATTTAATTAAACGCTTAGCGAGAGTAATAGAATATTCTCGTTACTTCGCTAAGAAAAATCTATCTCGACTCGACCCTCCGTTAAAATCTCGCTCTATTCTTCAACGCGTAGCGTATCGACGGCCGAGCTAAATATTTTAATAGCTTCGAAATACTTTTATAATTATATCGTTTCTATATTACTACGATTTAAATTTAAAGCTATATTTTAAAATTAATACTTTTAACTTTAATTTAAATTATTAGTATATATAAAAGAATAAGATAGAGCTAAGTTTAAAAATCTTAAATTTATATATATAGCTAATTATAACTTCGAGTTCGCTACGCTCTTTAATTAGATCGACTAAGTTATCGCGAGTAAATAAATTAGCGTTCGTAACTATTAAAAAAATAGATATATATTATTAACACATAGAATAACTTTTTTTTTCTATTTAAATTTTAATATTTTTTTTTAAATTATAGAACGAAATATGAGCTTTTAAATGAAAAAAGATTTTCTAAATTTAGTCTTATAATTATTAAAGCGTAAGGAATTCAAATATCGCTTATTAAAGTTCGCTCGATAGTCGAATAGCTCTAAGTCTAATTAGATATATATTACGAAGAATAATATTAAAAGTTTTATATATACGCTAAATCTCTTAAAGTGCTTGGCATTTTAATAAATCTGACCTTTTTCTTAGATAGCTTTATTTTTCTAGTGATAATGCTTTATATAGCTACGTATATACTTATTTACTCGCTTTATAGAGTTATAGAGCCGTATATTACCTCTCTTACGATCTTTTCTATACTCGTTATCGTCTTTAAGACGAATAACCTTCGTAATATATCTCGATATTCGGGCAAATTATAAATTCATACTCTAAAACCTTAAATCCTTATAAATTTATACCCTTAATTACATTTTCATATTCCTTTACTAAATTTTAGGATATAAAAATATAATTTATTATTCTTTAAGATATAAATTTATAATCTATTAAGCTACGTCTTCGAGTGCCCGACATTTAAGATCTCTAAAGAAGCCTCGGAAGCCTTAAAAAGCCCCTAGAAAATTGAACCCTAAATTTATCGCGGATTGGGGTGAGTTGGGGATTTAAGAGCTCGCCTCAGCCTCGGAGCGAGATTTCGACGAGTTACACGGCGAACCCTAGAGGTCTTCAGTTCGGGGCTCCCGGGGCCGGTCCGGCCTAATTTCCCAACCCCCGAAGACCTAACCTCAGCGCACTATGGTAAATTACATTTTCATACCCTAAGGAATAACAAATTATCGATTCATATCTCATTAAGGTATGAAAATATAATTAGAGGTATAAATTTGTAAGGATTTAAGGTTTTAGAGTATGAATTTATAATTTACCCGCCTCGATATTCGCTCTATTCACTTCTAAATTCTCTTCTATATAAACTCGTAATTTTAGCAATATAGTCATCGTTCCTCGGCTTCCTTACGAGTCCTTAATACACCTTTTCGAGTAGTATAACGTTTTATCTATAGTCAATAAGGCTTAATCATATTAAGATCCGGAGAGTTGCCGTATTAGATCATTCGAATAATATTCATTAACATGTGAACTACTTCTTAATACTTTAATGTATAGGCCGAGGCCTTATCTTCCATAACTATTATATCAAGTCGCTCTCGTTTGCACTCCTAAGCGAATTTCAGAAGCTTTAAGATAAGAATCTATATCTGATAAGAAGGAGAAGTATGAGAAATATAAGCGTACATATCTTTTTCTAGTAGCGATACTAATTGATTCCCCCCTTCTTCCCCTTAATAGTAACTTTCCCAGTCTTAGCAGTGAAGTTCCATATGGGCTTCTTACCAAAAAGATTCCGAAGACCTATACGTCTTATACCGGTCTTAAGTTTCCAAGCTTATTTAGCCTCAGCTTTCAGAGCATCATTAATTTTAGCGAGATTCTCGGCACACTCCTTCTTTTTAGCTGTAGTTTCGGCTTTCCAAATATAGTACGGCCTCTTCTTATCATACGAGAAATAACCTTAGAACATAAACTCTATAGCACCTACGAAACGACGTCGCACAGTAAATTTAATAAAGACTTTATTGGGTTGCCGCCATACACGCACTCTTCCCCGCCGAGAATTCAAGATTACACTGATTTCGTTACTTCAAATTATCTTTTTCTACTTCTCTATAATCCAGTCTTTATATCGTAAAGCGAATTGATATCGAGCTTCCATCATAACTTCTATAAGAGACGGTTTTTTGGTGGTTTTACAGGCTCGGAAATTGTTACGTCTAAGTACTCGTAGAATCGTTATTGACGAGAGTCCTTATTCAGCAACTAATATGAATGAGATTTTCTTATAACCGTAGCGATCTCTTCGTATAGCGGCTATAATAGCACTCTCAACCTCGAGGGTAATGATTGAGGGTCGTCTAGATCTCGATATATCACTTACGTATAATAGTAATAATTTTTAAGACTTGCTAAAATCAAATTCTCTATTACGAACTTATTTCTATAGACGACTAATAGTAAAGTAGAAGATCTCAGTAATAGTAGTAATAATTTTAGTTATAATGTTAGTTTCGATTAAAGTAAGTATCTAAAGTCTAATACCGTTATTATAATTAATAGCTTAAGCTTTATCTATAAATATTTTAATATAGAGAATATAGAGAGGATTATTTTTTATAGCTATATTAAGAACTTTATATATAATATAAAGTCTTAAGATTCTCCCTCTTTTCTCGTAGGCTAGTACGTTTAATATTAATATCGTAATTCGATAAATATACTATTTATATATAGCTATAACGTCGCTATAACGCGTATATACTTCGTATATATATACTCCGTATGTATACACCTTATATATATAGTATTAACGTCGCTATTAAGTAAAAAGTAGTAATATTAAAGATATTTAAGATATTCAGAATATTTACTAAGTATATCAAGAGATTTAGCGTATGTGTAGGACTTTTAATATTACTCTCCGTATTAGATTTTAGAATAACTTTTTTATTTTCTATTAAAAATTTGAGATTTTTTTTTAAATTATAGAACGAAATATGAGCTTTTAGAGAAAAAAAAGAATTACTAAATTTAATTCTATAGATATTTAAAGGCAACGAATTTAAATATCGCATATTAAAAGTTCGCTTATCAAATTTACTCGACAGCTCTAATTAAAAAAAAAATTATAAATTTAATTTATAGATCTTTACTCTTACTTTTATAATTAAATAAAAATAATTATTAGCGATTAATAACATCTTAATCTAGAAAACTAATTTTTATAAAGTAAAACTATAAAACGTATAATTAAGAGCTACTCGCTATGATAACATCTATAAAATAATAATATTACTATTTAAAAGATAATATTAATATATATAAAAGAATAAGATAGAGCTAAGTTATAAAATCTTAAATTTATATATATAGTTAATTATAAATTTAGAGTTACTACGCTCTTTAATTAAATCG